GCATATATATATCGGCAAGTCAATTTTTCAGTGTCATATATTCAGATGTTTACATACCCATCTACTTAGATATAAAACCAACTGGATATACATCGCTCATAGCCAACAGGTGTTGTAGAATGTCCACAGGACCACTTGGGATAAGTTTCATCTTGAGACGAGGTCACTATCATTACGTATGTGTTAATCTCATCACACACGCATACACAAATAGCCATGCGTGCCTGTGATACATGCCTTTGTGTTTCGTTCCGTGAGGCCCTCATCCCCCTATACCCTAAACGCTAAAACCTTACCATGTCCTTTCACACACAGCGTATCTCATGCGACTGAATTCCGTGTGCGAGCGCACCCTGCACGTCCCGCAATTTCATCCCATCGTCCCGCTTTTGGACAGCCCGCCGCGCGACGGCAGCAGTTGCCATAGCAGCGACGCAGCGCCCGTTTGCGAGTGTGTGTGTGGATGTGATGCGGCCGAGGCGGGTGTGTGTAAAGACACACAGGCTTGTGGAAGTCTCTCGGACACGCACACACACCGAGATGTACCAGTATTAGTAGGTGCACACGTGCATGTGGCTAGTGAGGCTCTAATAGCTACACAGGCGAGAGCGTGTACGCAGCACGAGTACTTGGCCCGTGAGAGTGTGTCGCAGTATCTGCCCGCCTGGGTGGACCGGCACTTTGGCCGTAACCATGGCAACGTCGTGGCCTATCCCCATCCGAAGCGAATGTCGGTTGCATCGATTGGTGGATGGTATGGGTGTGATGACCTAGTGTGCTATGTGTGTAGGTGGGATGACTTAGTGTGCTATGTGTGTAGGTGTGATGACCTGTGGTGTGCGGTTGTGAACATATCACAGGCAAAGGGATTATCATTTATCATGGGGCGTGAGTCTGTCGAATAGCGCATTGACACAAATTATTCAGGGAGTAGCTGTAAGAGTTCGTTCGATTCAGTACATATATAGGGTTTTAGGGTGACAGGGTTTTAGAGGTTCAGGGGTTTAGTGGTCTTGTGATTGGTGTGGTTTAAATGAGCGTTGTTCTTTTAGAAGGCTATGGTGTCGGTCTGTGTCTCTGTGTAGTTGATGTAATCGTTCGCTCTTGCGGTTACCACTGTGTGCCAGTACCTGTACAAATACAAACCCTGAACCCTGAACCCCAGACCCTAAACCCCGTGCCATATTCCTATTGATGTCGTAGTTCACCCTCGTGTGTTGGTACTGCTTACTTTATTTAGGGCAGCGCGAGATCCCGTTTCGCTGGACATAACATCTGGGACAGTATAATCGTCAACGCCATGCGCCTGGTGGGATATACATACACACAAACCCATACATGTACATATAACTATGTATACATATCTATTTGTATGCATATAAACTAAGTATGCATGTTTGTATGTACGCATATATATATACATACACATTATGTATGCATATATATATATATACGCATTGTATATGCATATATAAACATACACATACACCCATACATATACATATTTGTGTATTTGTGACTGTATGTATGCATATATGTACATACACATACACACATACATGTGCATAACTATGTAGTCTGTATGTGTGTAGATATATATATATATATATATACAAGTAACATAACGTAATGTCATAGTTATATACTATATATATATATATATATATATATATATATATACGTATATAACTATGTATGTATGTCTTTATGTATGCATATATATACATAGATACGTGTTAATAGCGGTGTTCACGTGCATACATACGGCATTCTTTAAAATTTAAGAAATCACCAGTCCGCCCTTCACCAAACATCGCATCTGTCGCGACTTCCACTCAACACCATGCAACTGGCGGGATTGCACGTACATACCGCTACATACAGTAGCATTGTAACATCAGCAACACACACAGTCACAACGTGTGCATAACTACATGTATAAATGCCTACACAGACGCATACGTATACGTTTTGATGTCGGTGTTCACTAATACTGTCTTTGTGTAATGCACACTCCAGGGATTCGCGAGGCCCCTCTTCGCTGGACATCGCGTCTGTGGCAATTTACACTCAACGGAATGACAACGGAGCACGTGAGCCTGGCAATGGTATTGAACGTATATGGTACCGTTCCCGGGATAAGAGTGGCAAGGTGAGTGTGTGGATGTCTTTGTGTGTGGATGCATACTTACACTATCTACTGTGGTAAGAATGGCTAGGTGGGCGTGTGGATGTCTTTCTGTGTGGATGCATGCTCACACTATCTTCTGTTGTAAGAGTGGCTAGGTGAGTGAGTGTATATCTTTCTGTATAGATGCATATTTACACTATCTTCTATAGTAAGAATGGCAAGGTGAGTGTGTGTGTATCTTTCTGTATGGATTTATTGTATGCAGATCTAACTATGGGTATATCATGTTAGACATTGAACTCGCACGTATGTGCATATATTCATGTGCTTGTGCCTTCTATGTATGAGTGTATTGTGGTCTGTGGCTGTGCATATATTTATGTTCTTGTGCCTTCTATGTGAGTGTATTATGGTCTGTGGCTGTCCATATATATATGTTATTGTGCCTTCTGTGTGAGTGTATTGTGGTCTGTGGCTGTGCATATATATATGTGCTTGTGCCTTCTATGTGAGAGTGTATTGTGGTCTGTGGCTGTGCATATATATGTGTTCTTGTGCCTACTATGTATGAGTGTATTGTCGTCTGTGGCTGTGCATATATATATGTGCTTGTGCCTTCTATGTGAGAGTGTATTGTGATCTGTGGCTGTGCATAAATATATGTGCTTGTGCCTTCTATGTGAGAGTGTATTGTGATCTGTGGCTGTGCATATATATATGTACTTGTGCCTTTTATGTACGAGTGTATTGTGGTCTATGGCTGTGTACATATATATGTGCTTGTGCCTTCTATGTGAGAGTGTATTGTGATCTGTGGCTGTGCATATAAATATGTTCTTGTGCCTTCTATGTATGAGTGTATTGTGGTCTGTAGCTGTGGATATATATATGTGCTTGTGCCTTCTATGTATGAGTGTATTGTGGTCTGTGGTCTGTGGCTTTGCATATATATATGTGCTTGTGCCTTCTATGTATGAGTGTATTGTGATTTGTGGCTGTGCATATATATATGTTCTTGTGCCTTCTATGTATGAGTGTATTGTGGTCTGTGGCTGTGCATATATATATATGTTCTTGTGCCTTCTATGTGAGAGTGTATTATAGTCTGTGGCTGATCTGCCGATATGAATACATACTTTAATAATAGTACAATAATATTAGTACAATAATAATAGTACAATAATTATCATTTGCATTTATCAAGGATGTGCATGTGTACTCTTACCGTGTCATCTGTTGATCACGTGGCTGCTTACTCCCCTCTTTGGTGTATTGTATCTATTTATAGAATGCGAATGAGGCCAGTAGCGGAGTTGTGGTGACGCTATCAGTTGATGGACGAATAGGCCACCACACCCTCCCAACCAACGGATCGCAGACTAAAAATAGAACCGAAGCTCGGGATAGGATTCCGCTGGTGGATGGTAGAGCGATTAAAGCCTTTGTCTGCCCCAGGTAACTAGTCCAGTTGTGTTATGTGGGCGTGTGTAGGTGTGTCGGTGCTTGTACACGTTTGAAACACCTAACTTGCCTGAGATATATCATAGTACTTGTTAATGTGCATGCGTGTTTTGTTTTGTAGTCAAAATAGATTGGTTCTCACTCCCATGAGCAGTATCAAAGCGAAAACTAATGATACAGGTAGGAATATAGGGGGTGGTTGTGAATAGATGTGTGTGTGTGCTATGAATAGATGTGTGTGTGTGCTATGAATAGATGTGTGTGTGTGCTATGAATAGATGTGTGTGTGTGGTATGAATAGATGTTTGTGTGTTATGAATAGTTGTGTGTGTGTGCTATGAATAGATGTGTGTGTGCTATGAATAGATGTGTGTGTGAATTGTGAATAGATGTGTGTGTGTGTTATGAATAGACGTGTGTGTGTGTTATGAATAGATGTGTGTGCGTGTGTTATGAATATATATATGTGTGTGTGTGTGTTATGAATAGAACTAGCCACTACATAGCTTTCAATACGATAACTATAGCCCTAGCCACAGAACGTGTTCAATGTTGCGTGATTAGTGCATGGTCACTTACGCTTGTGAAGGTGTGGTCATTCTACACGGAGGGTCTGCACTTTAGGTTCAGACTTAAAACCTGTTTGTCCCAAATACCTGTCTGTCCCAAAAACCTGTCTGTCCCAAAAACCTGTCTGTCCCAAATACCTGCCTGTCTCAAAATCCTGTCTGTCACAAATACCTGTCTATCCTAAATACCTGTCTGTCCCAAATACCTGTCTGTCCCAAATACCTGTTTGTCCCAAATACCTGTCTGTCCTAAATACCTGTCTGGCCCAAATACCTGTCTGTCCAAACTACCTGTCTGTCCTAAATACCTGTCTGTCTTAAATACCTGTCTGGCCCAAATACCTGTCTGTCCCAAATACCTGTCTGTCCCGTTACAACAAATGTGACACTGCTGTGCAGGGCATCCGCAACTTCTTAATTGTGAACACTAAACCCGTAACAAACACAGCAGGTGTTTGAGTACAATTAATTAAAAGGTGATTTTCGGCGGGAAACGGGCCATTTTGAGACGGTACTCTCGTGAATATAAATATTTAGACAGATACCAATCTGGTTTGTTGCAGAACTCTGGTTGATAAAAGAACCCCTGCATATAGCAACTCAGCCAAACCCCTAAACCCTAAACCCTATACCCTAAACCCCTATTTATAAACCCCGAAAATCTTCACTGCAGCAGCCCCGTTGGTAACAGCAACTGTAGCGAACTCTCGCCCAATGGAAATGCGCTATTTGTGGCACGTGTCTACAGCGGCTCACTCGCAGTACACGATGTGGAAACATGCGCGCAAACACAGGTGAGTCATGAACACGCCACTGCTTTAACCTCTCTAGTTAATGGTAGGTATATCACTTGCACACTAAAGCCATCAATTGTATGTCTACACACAGCACCGTTGAACATCTCCTTATACTACTATATCCTTTCTGATTAATGGTAGGTATATCACTTCCACACTGGAGCCATCACGTGTATGTCTACAGACTGTGATAGTTCGGTACTAATCACTGGTGGCGCAGACTGTACGGTGGTACTGTGGGCAGTTGAGGGCTCTAAAAAGCCCGCCGCTGAAGTTGGTCCAATTACAGGTATATACTATACGTGTGTGTTTGTGTGATATACATATGTGTGTGTGTGTATGTGAGTTATATATGTAAGTGTGTATGTGAGATGTTTGCGCGTGTGTGTGTATTATAGATGTAGGTATATATGTGTGTGTGTGTTTTCTAGATTTAGGTATATGTGTGTGTATATATTTAGGATGTATGTGTGTGTGTGGAGTTGTGATATGTCTGTTGTGTGTATGTTAGGTGTTAATTCGTGTTGGCTTGTGGTATGTTTCTTGTATGTAATATGTATGTATGTGTGTGTGTATGTAATATGTATGTGTGTGCGTGTATGTAGTATGTATGTGTGTTTGTGGATGTAGTACGTATGTGTGTGTATATATGTATATATGTGGTATGTCTGTTGTCTGTATGATATATATGTATGTGTGTATATATGTGGTATGTCTGTTGTCTGTATGATGTATATGTATGTGTGTATATATGTGGTATGTCTGTTGTCTGTATGATATATATGTGTGTGTGTATGGGGCATGTATGAATGTGTGAATGTGATATGTACGTGCGTGTGGACGTGAGATATGTATTAGTTTGTGTATGTGGGATGTTTGGATGTGTGTGCATATGTATGATATATATGTATTAGTTTGTGTATGTGAGATGTATGGATGTATGTAGATGTGCTATGAATGTATGTGCGTATGTGTGTTATATATGTAAGTTTTTGTTTGATATTTGGTTTGGACTGTGATATGTACGTGTACGTTTCCGTAAGATCATAATACTGCACTTCAGTAATGTGTATAATAGGCATCTACCTTAAGTTCCCATGTTTGGATGCACAATCTATTTATAGATTTAACCAATGGTCGCCAACGTTTTAGACTCGCGCACTGCATAGTAATTGCAACCGACTTCACTACGACAGCCAGTCACAGACATCTCCAGAAAAAAATCTCCTACGATATCGAGTGTGACGTCGATGTGGTGAAAGTGTTGCGTGTTCATATGCATACTGTGTGTGATTTATTTCTGAATAAAAATGTTGTATGTTCATATACATACTGTGTGATATTCATATCTGAATGTATTGAACGTGTTATGTGCACACATGCATGCAGATAGCGAGTGTGCTGTGTGTCCTTTCGTATCTGTGCCATGAGACCACTCTATGAGGTTTCAGGGTTTTTAGGGTTTTCTCATCTGCCATGGGAATCACTCCCTCTAACGCTCCGTCTGTACCACAGACACCTACGAAAGCCAGCAGAAAGGCCCTACCACCTTAAGTGGCATGACCAAATCCATGGGCGGAGAGGCACTCAAAGCTAAACTCAACGGACTCATGAGTGCGCACGACTACCACTTGCACCCACGGCAACTGCACTGTGGCCACACAGACCAAGTGGTGCAGGTGGCTGTCAGTGGGGCAATGGACTTGGTCGTCAGCGCCTCTGCGGTGTGTGTAGCTGTAGTGCTTTGTTTTGTAAGGTTATGACAATCAGTATATATACATATATAT